TTTTATCAAAAAAATTTGAAGTTGAATATGTTAATAAATGCATGTTTGAAGTCTATCTCTTATGCACCTTTTTATATAGATTATATAGATTATACTCAAATATAAAGTATAACTATAACAGTTCTTGCCAGATTCTTTGTGACACAACAAACAAAATTATATTATCACAAAATGAGTTCAAATTATATTTTTACGTACAATATTTGTTGGCTTGAAAATACTTAAGTAAATTTAGTTTTATTTATAATGCAAGAATGTTCTTGCACCTTATATAATAATATAACACCCGAATTTGTAGCAAATATTAGTATATAGGGATTTGAATTTTTATTCTTAATTAATCAAAATATGTTAACATGTACGTATAATATCCATCGCTCACTTGAAGTCCCGTGTCAGGAATGCGAGAAAAGTGGAAGGGATACACTATTTCCAAGTTAGGTTTGGGGATGGACGGCCCGATTCTCCTCTTACTCCTGCTGTCCCACAGGACATCGAGTGAGCGGTGGACAGTACATGCGTATTTTACTGATTAAAAATTTTAAGCCTTATAATTAGAATGCATTTTTAAATCATTTTCATTAAAATTATTTTATTTGTTCTAAATGTTAAATATACATAACTTTGAATGTCATATTTAAGAAAGTTCAATTAATTTTTAGGACATTATATATTTGTCAATAATTTCCATTATTGAATGAGTTATAATTGTTTTTTAATTTTTAATTCAATGGCGTTATTAGTCTTATATCTCTTAAAACAGAAGACAAACATTGTATATGTTATATAAATATCTAAATATTTAGAATCAATTCATTATTACATCTAGTAATCTAATAAATTAATTTATTTTTTAAAGGTTAAAGACTGTCTCTTATACACATCTAGATGTGTATAAGAGACAGATACGATACTAACCCTCTAGCAAAATAAAAAGATATTTAAAATATATACACACAAAACTTTATTTACATGTATTTATAGAGGTCAAGATCACTAAAATGAAAAGCATACTCAAGCAAGAATTTGTACTATTATGCATCATAATGTTTAACAAAAAACATATGTAGTCTATTTATAATGAAAATTCAATAACTAATTATTTTAGCAAGTTATATAATACTTTTGGTCATTTATGGTGCAGTTAATATATGTCCACACATATACATATACACCTGTCTCTTATACACATCTAGATGTGTATAAGAGACAGATACGATACTAACCCTCTAGCAAAATAAAAAGATATTTAAAATATATACACACAAAACTTTATTTACATGTATTTATAGAGGTCAAGATCACTAAAATGAAAAGCATACTCAAGCAAGAATTTGTACTATTATGCATCATAATGTTTAACAAAAAACATATGTAGTCTATTTATAATGAAAATTCAATAACTAATTATTTTAGCAAGTTATATAATACTTTTGGTCATTTATGGTGCAGTTAATATATGTCCACACATATACATATACACCTGTCTCTTATACACATCTAGATGTGTATAAGAGACAGATACGATACTAACCCTCTAGCAAAATAAAAAGATATTTAAAATATATACACACAAAACTTTATTTACATGTATTTATAGAGGTCAAGATCACTAAAATGAAAAGCATACTCAAGCAAGAATTTGTACTATTATGCATCATAATGTTTAACAAAAAACATATGTAGTCTATTTATAATGAAAATTCAATAACTAATTATTTTAGCAAGTTATATAATACTTTTGGTCATTTATGGTGCAGTTAATATATGTCCACACATATACATATACACCTGTCTCTTATACACATCTAGATGTGTATAAGAGACAGATACGATACTAACCCTCTAGCAAAATAAAAAGATATTTAAAATATATACACACAAAACTTTATTTACATGTATTTATAGAGGTCAAGATCACTAAAATGAAAAGCATACTCAAGCAAGAATTTGTACTATTATGCATCATAATGTTTAACAAAAAACATATGTAGTCTATTTATAATGAAAATTCAATAACTAATTATTTTAGCAAGTTATATAATACTTTTGGTCATTTATGGTGCAGTTAATATATGTCCACACATATACATATACACCTGTCTCTTATACACATCTAGATGTGTATAAGAGACAGATACGATACTAACCCTCTAGCAAAATAAAAAGATATTTAAAATATATACACACAAAACTTTATTTACATGTATTTATAGAGGTCAAGATCACTAAAATGAAAAGCATACTCAAGCAAGAATTTGTACTATTATGCATCATAATGTTTAACAAAAAACATATGTAGTCTATTTATAATGAAAATTCAATAACTAATTATTTTAGCAAGTTATATAATACTTTTGGTCCTTTATGGTGCAGTTAATATATGTCCACACATATACATATACACGTTTTAGAAACACTTATTGAATTGTTGCATATGTACCAATGTTTGCTTTGATATCTCAAATAATTTATGTTCAGCAAAGTAAGCAAATTCTTGAAAAATAAACTCATCAGTGTTTCGATTACTTACAGTTAAGATAACTTTTAAAGGAGTTACATGTTTCTCAAATGTACACATGAAATCTAAATTTATTTTGTTCGTTGATTTCTCTTTTTCATGATCCTTTATCGTTTGATTTGATATAAAAGCTTCTTTTTCTAAACAGCTTATACTAGGATCTAAAATGATATTATTAATTTTTCTATTGCGCCATGTACAAACAGAACCAATACAATGAAATATGACTTTCTTATATTTTTCCGTGTGTACATCTGACAATACGTCAATTTTTTGTTGCTTTGCCTCTGCATCAGCAGTTAAAACAACAACTTGTACTTTCAACACTTTTTCAAAAACCTCTTTTACTGTATTGAAAACAGTATAATACCAATCACTCTTCGTTATTTTTGGTTCTTTCGTAACATTTACACATTTTTGCTGATTTGCACAAATTGTAACTTTGAACGTATTCCCCTTAGATTTTGCATTTATGACTGTACTAAAAAGACGTTTCAAAAAATCCTTATAATTATTTTTACTAGCCTCTGTGCAGATTGTGGCACCAATCGTACAATAATGTACAAAAGCTTCCAATATTGAATGTGGTGTACTTGCTGTAACATTATGATTAAGTTCTATTGGATCTTGAACACACATATCTCTATTTATTTTTAACTTAAAATTCTCGTCTTCTTTTAAACATGCTTTGTATGCATTCATATATTGTGGCAAATTTTCCACATCTGTAAATTCTGATTCCATATGTACCATTCCATCAAGTGGACATATTACTTGAGATTTAAATTTAAAAGTTGAATAAAAGATAAAGAAACCGTAAAGAAGTTGCGGAATGCTACTCGTGTTTGTAATTGGTGACAATTGTATATTTTCATCAAAATTAACTTGCCATCCATCTATAATTTGTGGTTGACAAGTTTTCTGTAACTGAAGTAACGGAGGAATAATTTTTACTGATGGCTGTTGAAGGTAAAAAATTATTAACAAAAGTAAGGCATAATTAGATATTTTTCCAGTACTCGATATTTTAAAATTTCTTGCCCAATACTTAATAAGCATAATTAATGGCCTTAACCTGACATCAAGCGAAATGCAATATTTCATTAGCTTACTTTTGTATATACCAAAACTGTTTTTAAATGATATA